AGACAGAATAGGAATATTAAGAATGCCTGATGCTGTCATGAGCACTCAATGTGTATAGTACTATAGAATACTTCCTTTGTGATTATTTATGATTCAAATGTCACAAATGATAAAACATTTGTTGTCTGCTGGTATTAGAAAAACAGATTACTAGGCAGGGAATGGTGGCTCGTGCCTGTAATCCTAGCCCTTTGGGAGGCTGAGGCAGGTGGATTGCTTGAGCTCAGGAATTCATGACCAGCTTGAGCAAAAGTGAGATCCCCATTGCTACAAAAACTAGAAAAACTAGCTAGGTGTTCTGGCAGGTGCCTGTAGTCCCAGCTGTTTGGGAGGCTGAAACAAGAGGATCGCTTGAGCCTAAGAGTTTGAGGTTGCTGTGAGCTATGCTAGCACAGCACTCAACCCAGGGCTACCAGGTGAGACCCTGTCTCAAAAAAAAGGAATTACTGCAGACCTTTGTCAAGCCTGGAGTTTGGGGGAGTTACATATATGGCTTCTCCCCAAGTAGGACTCTTTCCAAGATGTGGTAGAATCTTCTTTCCAGATTTGGTATTGAGTGATCACTTAGGATTTGGCTCACCTACGCACAGATTGGTTTTTGCTTGTTGAATTCTTTTTTTTCCCTATTATCAAAGGTGTGCTCTTGTTTCACTTCACCAGGAAAACACAATCAAGAGATTGTGGTTTAGGATTGCGTCATGTACAACATTTCACCCAGTGGGACTTGTGAGAAAAAGCCTTAAGGTCACATCATCAGAAGTTCTCTTTTTTCTGGAGAATTGCAGAGACCTCACCAAATACATTTTTGAATATCAAGAAAAATATTCCCTAAAGTCTCCTTCTACTGTTATATTCATCTCACATCTAATAAGTGTAGAAATACAGCTTATGGATTTTAGTGGGTTTTTTTTTCTCTGTGTACATTTCACAACTTTCAATTTTTAAAGGGTTTTTGACACTTCCATCTGCCAAAATTTCAGAGACATAGTAAACACAGTTTTGTGTGAATTGGAAAAACTATCAAATATAATCGAGTCCTTTGTCATCTATTTTGATGACTTGATTCAATTATACGTAAACCCATACAAATTGAAGGTAAATTTAATTTCAGAGAATCTAGACCAAGGTGTAAATTTTTAGAGTTATTCAGAATTATACACCTATGAAAGCCACTTAACAACAGTGAACTATACTAGCTAGATGGAAATTTCTTACTGTCTTTTGAAAAAAGTCTCATGCGGTTTACTGTTAAACACTGGGGAAAAGTTGACGAGCTTTTTTGACTTAGAAATAACAAAAGGACGTGATTTTTCTCCTTCTTCTTCTGTATGCCTGTACAAAGAGTTTGGGATTCATTATGATGACCATTCAGTGTCACCATACACAGTTATATCTGACCAGATGTCGAGGTGTTCACTGGCGGGAAATGTGTATCTTACGCATAAGACGGGGAAATTAACAGGGAAAGAATCTATTTGCAAGAAATCATTTGAGCAAAGAAATGCACTATCTGGAATACATCATTTTCTGTTCAGGTGAAAGTGATTTGAGAATCTATGTTCTTTGTGGCTTAGCAAATTTACCTAAATATAAGGAGAGTGGGCTTATGAAAGGAGTAGGCATTTCTATTTAAATCACATATGAATGAGCCAACTAAAGAGAAAATTTAGGAATAAAGGAATTGGGAATAATCAAACAGCCTTATTGTGGCTAAAATAGAAAAGAAGTACTGAGCGTTCGCAGAGTGCTTTCACACTTGTTAATGCTTTGATCCTGTAGCAGCCGGGTGAGGTATGTGTGGCAGATCTTGTCATCGTTGTTTAACCATTGAGACTTGCCTAAGGCTGCACAGCTTTTTATAGCAGAGCTTGGAATAGAATGAGCTCTTCCGATGCCACATCCCTATCCTACTGACTTTCTGTGTTTTTCAAGAACCAGCTCTCACATATTTCTAACTGAACATGAGAGTTACAGTTTGGCTGCATTTATGACTACAAATCACTCCTCACCAACGGCCGGTTTCAGACTGGGTCTTTTCCTGATATTCTCCCCTTTTCCGGTCCTTCCATTTCCTTTCATGGCCTCACAAACCTTATCAGAATAATTCTAAAAATAATGCTGGCTTTTATGGATCTATCTTTCTGTCCATCCATTCATCCATCTATCCACCCTCCCATCTGGTCAATAACCTAATTTGTATCTTCAGTACAGTCACCTATATTCCTATAGCTCATGGTGACGCTGTATATCTTTCCCCACATACTCAAACTGTATATTCTAACAGTGGGGAAGTGGCTGGGCAGAGTGACAGTTGCTCTGGCCATTACCCGTGTGTGATCAATTGCTTATAATCTCCATAGCACCATCGTGCATACGTTGAGAATGTTCGGGGCATTGTAACTTGGGAGAATTTCCAATCTTTCATAAATAACCATTAATCTGTCCCTTTTACATTCAGCTTTCCACATCTGTTTCAAATCGTTCAGTGCTATTCCAGGAGTGCATTAAAGCTCCAATCCAGGTAGTATTAAGGGGATAAATGAGCCACAGGGAAGAGACACTGTATTTTTCTTAAAGCAATTCTCTCTTCTTTTTACCAAGTTAGGAGCCAAGCAATTTATGATTAAGATTTTCGGAGGATATCCTCTGTCATTTTAAGCCATCCTTGTCTCTGGGTTTATAAATGAGGTTTTAGCTCTGGCATCCTGACGTACAGTCATGTTTTTCTCCGTACAGGTAGATTGTGACTGTCATTTCTGCCAGAAAATCTAAAGTAATTTTAATTCATTATGATTCACTGTGGATTCTTATTGAAGAAAAAATGAGGCATAGTTAAAAACCTAAGGTCAGTTCGAAATAAATAAGTGCCTGAGTGTGCATTTATATTTCTGATGTTTAGGGAGTCCAGAGAAAGCTGTCAATAATTTTAGTTTGATGCATTTTGTACAAGAAGCAACTCGCTTTTTAGGGGAAAAAACACATTTTTTTATGAATTATAATTTAATATTTTGCTTTGTGTCTGCTCTGATTTATTGAATAAAAATTATAAAGATGGGCCTTTGCTCACCACATAGGCCACATAACCTACATGTATTCTCTCAGGTACTTTCCAAATCAAGTATTTTCATAAGAATGTACTGTTAGATTTACAAAAGGCCTCTCACATCGTACAGAGATGCCCTGCGGAATAAATGCATATAAAGAGAGTCCTGTATGGGATATCAGATGACCCACAAGTACGAAAGAGCAATGTTTTCACGTTGACCTTGACGATGGTAAGGCACTCACAGAACTATCAGACGGGGGGATAACTCAAAGATGATTCCGTATCTCTGGAATTTGTAAAAGGCCTATAGAGGATGACAAGCTGATTATCTGACCCATAATAAAATGCCCACACAGGACTGTAAAGAAGAAGGAAACTCAGTTACATGTCTCTCATCAAGGTTAGTAGAAAGCTCAGATAGATTATCACATAAAGTGCGCTCTATCATTGGCTTTGGAGGTGGCTTATTTCACAGTCTGCAGATTTCCCAGTTGAAGTCTGAAGTTCTGTCTATGCGTAGGAGATTGACAGCTGCTCCACCCATTAGTATTAATGAATTACCAACCCACATCCCACACACATCCACCAAGAACCCAAAGGCACCCCTCCTACACACTACTTTGTTTTGAATCCTCCAACTGTTGTAGGATGGCTATTTCCTTAATAGGTGGAAATTATCGAATACAGCATGTATTATTTCCTTTAGCTAAAACTGATGTCTCATAGGAATTAATGAGAAATCCTAACTTTATTTATCTGCTAAGGCTGGTTAAATTATCTTTTACCTCTTTGTCATCTAAGGAATGCCTATGACCATTAAGGAAATGTGACCCACGCTGCTAGGGCATTTCATGAAGGATAAGTCAATTCAGAGAGACCGTGGCAGTGAAATTTTTTTCCCTTCTGAAAGACCTCCAGTAGTGTCCTTGTAGTGAGTTAAGAAAGAACAAAATGGTTTTCAATACGATGAAAACCCTCGTTCTGTGGTTTACATAGAACAGTTTGAATTCAGACCTTTTGTCCTGGCACAGTTATTGATTACTTCTCCTTTACTCTCAAAATGTCCTAGTTTGGATAGAAAATTATGTGTTCACCCAGTTTTAGGGCCTTTTCATGCAGTTTTAGGGTATTTCTTACACAATCATGTTCCCTTCCCCTACTGTCTGGGATGATTTCAGTTCCCATTCATGCCTTTTGTGGGGAACACTTGGTTCTACAAGGGAAGAAAGAAAAAGCAAAAATCTCTGCCAGCCCATGCACCTTCATAAGTCACAGAATTCATCGTGCTTTCTTCTAATCATTCTTTGGGTCCTCATTCCCTTCCTGTTTTGTGACATTCCATTCTCCAATAATATTCTTACCTAAAATGTCAGACAGGTCAAGGAATGTTACTATATGGATACTTTCATATAGAAACAGGCAGCTCAGTGTGTTTCAGTGCTTGTTTATATAAGAAAAGAAGCCAAATGTAGAGTCATAGGTCACTTTAGGATGGGGGTATGTTCAGACAAACTCATCACTGTGCAAACATCTTTGAGCGTAGTTCCACACACTTAGCTGGTACAGCCTATTGCACACCTGGACTCTTGGGGCTGGTCTACTCTCCAGGCTACAGACCTGCAAGGCAGGTTACTGTACTGAGTGCCTGAGGCAGTTATAACACAGTGCTAAGTGTTTGTGTATCTAAACATAGGAAAGGCACAGCAAAAATACGGTATTAAAACCTTATGAAACCTCCGCTGACCACGTATCAAGTTTAACAATTGAGAAAATTGTGTCTTTTTTTCCTTCCTTTTCTGAGGTGTAAGAAGTTGATGGCCAGGTAGAACTGGTTACAATGCAGAAGTAACTCTGAGGGTCCTCAGTAACAGCACCATGTATCAGCATTCTGAGGTTTTCATCTGCAGTAAATTTCTTCTTAACTTTGGTATTTTTTTTTTTTCCCCTCACTTAGGGTAGAAATTTAGCATCTGGAGAGGTTGGATTTTTTCCAAGTGATGCTGTCAAGCCTTCCCCATGTGTAAGTACTAGTATTTTATTACTTTCTGGTTTTATTTTTTATATCACGATTGTGTAAGACGCTATGGACGAGTCTGTTTTATTATGTTCTTCTTTTGTTTTTGAGATCATGATTAATTGTGTCAGAAGCTATGAAGGATTCTGGCCAGGTCACTCATTAATTTTATTAATATTTATTACATTGATTAATATTACATTCATTGATATTTTTGAGAGTGATCTTATTATTTCCATCATCATTATGATTCCGTTGTTAATGGCATTTGTAAATGTTAAGGAAATATAAGTAAAAAGCAGATTTAACTCAGTAGAATTTACAAAATTAAGTTTTCTAAATTTTTTCAGAATAAATAAACCAAGACTACAGATTAGATGTACTATACAAGTTCCCCTTCTCCTGCTGAGGTGAGAATGGTAGGTTCTAATCTACTCCCAGTCACCTGGGTTACAGGGTAATATTATATACTTCACCTGGTGGCTTTGAAAGCATCCTAGACTATGAAAAGTCTACAAATTCTTCAGTCGAATCTCTAAATACATTTTCCATGCTTGGTGTGTCATTACTTTTATTAATGTCATAGTGAAATTTTCTGAAAATATCAAACACAGATGGAAGGAAATAATACAAAATGAATATCACATAAAATATACTCCCTGGTGCATTATGATACTGATAAATTTGTTTACAGTGCTGTGATTTTTAGCATCATAATTTGGTATTTAGGGTGGTTTTGCCCCCAAACTTTTTAAGTTAAATTGACTTTGAAGTAAATGAAATTCCTTCACTAATAGGGTAAAGACAGTTACCTGCAGAAAACAAAAACCTCTCCTTAAACTAACCTGGTTACTATCTTCTAGTAGTTCCTGAGTTTCTAAACTGGCTTTCCTTTTAATATTATAAACATAAATGTCTGCCACCCTTGACTTCAGAATGTAGTCAACAAGACCACACTCCACTCATGCGAGCTGAGTTATTTTCAAAAGTAAAGAAAATTTAAAAAAACTGTTCTTCTGTTAGTTTTAGGATCTAATGTTACATTTTTAAATCTTAGATCGTGTTATCTGGAAAGATTGTTGAAATCTGATTCTCCTTTTATTAGATAAGCAAAAAATGAGTTTTGGCTCGTCTGTCATTTTATGAATGAGATTCTGGCTTTCTGTCTGTAAAGCAGTCATGTTTAGATGAAAGCAGGTGGCAAGAGATTAAACATTCTAACATTAAGAGTTTGGGAACGTACAGCCATCAAGTCATGAATATTAAACATTTCATATACCAAGTACTGTTTTCTGTTTACAGCCTCTTGAATACAGCATAAAATGAGCATTTGAGGTTTTCTGTTGAGTGAGTGGATAAAGGAGTGAAAAAGCAAGCGGAAGTCCTTAGCTGTATATAGACAAGAATGATAGATACAAATTAAATCAGTTTAGAGATGCGTATTGAAGGGTCGTTGGCGACCCAGTAAGTGACTAGAAGGAGAAATATGTTCAGAAGTTTTAAGATGATAAAAAGTTACAGACTACTGCCTAGTTATGGTAGATTTCCAACTAAATGTGGTGGTTGTTATAGCTCTATTACAATTTAATGCTTAGTGAAATCATAGGATTATTTATTAATTATAGGGCAAGTCAAGTGAAGGGAAGTAGGAGGGAATAGGGTGAAGGAGTTTGGCAATGGTGTTGCTTTTGACCCTGGAATATATTGTTTATCAGAATCACGCTTAGTATTCCATTCTGAACTTAAAAATTATTTTCCTGGTTATCCTGTGCCTGTCTCCTCAAAAGTTTTGAGGTATTCTGCTGAAAACCAAGAACTGAGAACACAGGATGTGCATGAATGGGATAATCTCATTTTTGGTGATATGGTGACCTGGAGCTGCAGCACAAGGCAAACTTGGGCATTATCTCTAATTTCAGGAGCCTTCAGTGGTGAACTAGGGAAAAAAATTCATCCCACAGGTATTAGATCTGAGTTGGGTAGAAAAACACAAAGCATTCTCCCAAACCACCCAAGATGTAGGGCTGGAATTTATACCACCTCTCTGGCTAAAATAGTCTAAACTAGAAATCTAGTTTAAAATGATTTGATTCCACCCTGATTGTTCCCCCAATGAAAATACAGATGCTTTCTGTGTTGGAATCTATTTATGTATAGTTCTCAAATAATTTTTACAGATAAAGTTCTAGGGAACAAAATCCACAATTTGGAATTATTCAGTTCACGAAGAAACAAACCACTCTGAGCTAAGATCAGTACAAGTGACAAAATAAAGAATTAGGCCCACAAAGACAGCAGATAATTGGAATTATTAGGTACTAAGTGCAAAATTTTATTTTTAATATGATTGAAGAAATTAAAAAAGAGGATAAAGACTAAGGGGAGAACAAGACTATCCAAATGTCTGGGCATGTTTCAAAAAGATTCAGGTACAGTAATTGAAATGAAAGCTTTTCTGGACACATTACATGGCGTGTCAGACACAGTTGTATGGAAAATTGGAAAAAAAAATCTGAAGAAATTTCTGAGAACATGTCAAAGAGATTAAGAAATGGAAAATATAACAGAAAATGGAGTGTTGGGATTCAAAGACATCTAATAGAAAAAAGAGGTAATTGTGGAAAGGAAATATTCAAATAAATAATGGCTAAGAACTTTCCAGAATCTGTAGTGAAGTCAAGAAGAATATATTAAAATTAGTCAACACTTTGATGCACTATAGTGAAAGTGTAGGACATTAAAGACAAAATTCAAGAGAAAGGGAAAAAACAGATTGCCAATAAAGGGTTGATTACTAAACTCACTTTGAAGAACAATTATGGAAGCAACAAGTGTTTCCAGTTCCCTTCTTATAATTGTCAGGACCTCCAGTTGGTCCTGTTCTCCCAGAGGATTGTAGAAAACAACTATAAGTTGTGTATAAAACAAAAATGACTATCTGAAGGCACTGGTGAGAAAAAGAATTGACACTTTGAAAAAGAGGATGATAATTAGGTGAGTTTTCTGGTTTTATAGCTAGCTTGAGGGCAGGCACTAGTTTGTACCTTGTAGAGTGGCTAAAATTGAGATAGAAACCTTATAGTTTCTATATCTCTAGCTTGAAGAGCCAGAATATAGAGTTTAAAGCAGTAACAGCTGCTGGAAATGGAGGTAGAAAATCTTAGACAGGAAAGTGTCAGAGAGCACAAACCTCAAATTCTCTGTGTAACCTCTACCCAAGTCTCTGGCTGAGTAGTATAGATTCCAAGCAGCTCAGCTTAGGCTCAAAGAATTCAGCGGGCTCTTAACACAGGAGAGACAGTTTGCAGTTGGAATCAACCAAGTAAACTGCCTACTTTAAGAAAAGCCACATTCTTTTCAGGAATATAACAGAATCCAGAGCTTCTACAGTGGAAGCATTCTGGATTCTCTAGACATTCTAGGCATTTAAGAAGTGGAATCTAGAAGAAATTGACATTCAACTTAGCAGAATCCAAGTGAAAAAGTTACACAATAGCAAAGAAACACAAAAATGTGAACTATACTTAATAGAAAGAAGACTGATAGGAAATGTCCCAAGTCATCAATTAGCAGGAGAGGATTTTAAAAGCAACGATTATTACTTGCCTGAGAACACAAAGGATAATATGTATTGATGGACAGGAAACCTCAGTATAAAAAAAATGAAGATTTTAGAATGTGAAAGTACAATATCTGAAATAATAATAATATGTTGAAAGTTGGAGAGAAAATTAGTCAACTTAGAAATTTATCTTTTCTAAATGGGGGGGGGGGGAAATGACATTTCTAGCCCAATGAACGCAGAAAAAATTCCCTTTAAAGTGTCCCATCTAACTTTATAAGATGTACTTCCTGAATATATACGTATAATTTGGTGCACATTTTACGTTCCCAACAAAATATTTAATAGTATGTATTTATAGCAGAAATTTAACAATGTAAAATGTCCAGGATGAAGACGAAAAATGACATTGAAAAAAAATTCTAACAGTATTCTCAAAGCTGAGACAGTACCTAGTAGGAAATTATCTATAGTCTTAAATCTGAAGCATCTGCCCAAAATATAAAGAGAGGGAAAGAGGGCCCACGACAGACGGAAAAGGACAGAACCCCACCCTAGTTACAGGGATTGGGGCCAGAATATACCCACCAAAAAGGGAAAAAGCTCTAGAAGGACATTTTTGGGATGGAATAGCCTCAGTCATCTGTTATACTTTAGAATTTCATGTCACTTTTTTTTTGATATCTACAATTTTACCAGCAAAGGGAGTCCACTGTTAGAATATGTTGAAATTCTTTATCCTCCTCTTCCCTGTCCCTTTTCTTGTTGTTCTGCATGGAAAGGAGCTTGGTGTAGGAATATACAATAGTCTTTTAAAGAATACAGAGAGAAAGAAAGAAAGAAGAAATATTATTTTTCTATCAGATTTCAGAAGCCATGTATCTTATATCAAAAGGGAAACTGTCAAAGATCAATTTCTATTTATGAAAACAAAATAATGTTAAGGAAATATTTGCAAGATTATAATGAGTGTAATTAACATTTAACATCAATTGCTATGTATAGGATTTTACAAAGTGATGATATTCAAAATGTGAATATTGAATATTGAATTTGCAAAGTGATGATATTCAAAATATGAATATTGAATATTCAAAATAGTCAAATGAATTAAAAATAATCAAAGGAAAATTTTGACTAAGGAGGAAAATTTTTTTTGTTTTTGTCCAGGGCTGGGTTTGAACCTGCCACCTCTGGTGTATGGGGCTGGTGCCCTACTCCTTGAGCCACAGGCACCACCCAGAGGGATACATTTTTTTGAGACAGCTTGAGTATCCCTAATCCTAAAATTCAAAATGCCATAAAATCTGAAATATTATCAAATCAAAAACTTTTTGAGACCTGACATGACATCAAAGGAATTTCTCACTGGAGCATTTTCCATTTGGATTTTTGGATTAGAGTTGCTGAATTTACCACAAATATTCCAAAATTTAAAAAAAAAATCTAAAATCTGAAACGTTTCTGATCCTAGGCATTCGGATAAGAGATACTCAACCTATGTATAACTCTTAACCTGGAAGGGCGAAACAGTAACAGCCCATTATGCAAATTGTCTGTACTCCCAATCTTTACTCAGAAATTTATAAACTTTGCCACCCCCATATTAAGTATTTTATTTATTTTTTGCATATTAGTATACCTTCTTTGGTTTTGTTCATTTTCTAGTTGGCTATCAGAAGCCAGGAACTTTCTCTTTATTTATTTATTTTTTGATTAAATCATAGCTGTATACATTAATGCAATTATGGGGTACAATATGCTGGTTTTATATACAATTTGAAATTCTTTCATCAAACTGGTTAACACAGCCTTCACCACATTTTCTTAGTTATTGTGTTCAGACATTTGTGTTCTCCACTTAGTAGATTTAACATGTACCCTTGTACAGTGAATGCACCATGGGTGTCGGCCCATTTTCTTCTGGTGCAAAACGCTATACAAGAAAGGGGAAAATGAATAGTTTCCATGACGTTTTTTCTGAACGAAATGTTCTAGCTGCTAGATTTCAAAACTGGAGCTTGGAACTTAAATTACCAAATCGGAGTTTACATGCAGTCTATATTGTTTATTTTGCATGTTTTCTTGGTGTCTTGGGAAAGCCAAGTAATGCTGTTTGGTTTTCTTAATAGCATTTTCATTTTAATTTTCTATGATAGGATTAAATTGCCTTGATGATAAATATTAAAAGCTTCTAGTTTATATTTTCCTGCTGTCTGTCTCCATAGAGTTACAGTGGCAGTAAAATGAATGAAAGAATGAATTAAAGTGAAATGAATTATTTTTCACTTCTCTGACATGTACCGTGATTCACTCTGTATAAAATTGCCAATGGATAGTTCCAGGACTGTGCTACTTAGGGTTTTATAGAGCTGAGTCAGCTGAACTGAATTAATGATTGATTTCTAAAAGCTTCCCTTAAGTAAACTTAATCTATTTTTCCCTTTTCATATCCTAGGTGCCCAAACCAGTAGATTATTCTTGCCAACCCTGGTAAGTATTAAAAGTGTTTATGTAGCTCAGTTGAAATACTATACCCTTAGCTCCAGGACACCTTAAGTGGGGGGTAGTAAACCGCATTCCATTTCCATTTGTCTTGGCTAAAAGTGTTTTCACGTGTAACAAAACACCATCATGAATTCACATATTGCTGACCTTTCCATATCTTTATCAGCGAGGAATGTGTGTGTGTGTGTTTATGAAGGCCGTGGACTATACATTAAATGTTTGTGACACCCACAGAGATGAATGGGACATAGGCATACACATTGAGTGTTTCCTGTATTGTAGAAAGGTAGATTTCATGAAGCAGATAGGAAAAACACATATGATTTCCTTGTGTGAAACTAAAAGTTAGCTCATCAGGTGCAGTAGTGGATTCTAAGGCTGCAATCTCTAACATGTCATGTGCGAGCAGCAAGATATACCCAGGTCTAAGTTTTGAGGCTGGATGAAACATAGTTACCACTTGAAAGCTGGCAGCATCATTAACAAAACTGAGGACGTGAAGTCCCTAGTGATTATTATTTTCTAGCTATTTTCAGCTAGAAAAAATATATTAATGATCCAGAAAAGTTAGGATTATCATATGATGATGACTAATGTACACTATTTACTGTGTGCTTACACCTTTTATTCTTACACATTTTATTCTACATATTTTATTTCTTTTTTGTTTAACATTTAATAAAGAAGGTGTTGTTATTATTTTTTTATGAGTGAAGGAACAAAGGATAAGATTACTCAACTAGTGAGTGGTAGAAGCAGAATTCCAAGTCATGCCATCTGTATATTGCTGTACAGGCCCTCCAATACGAAATAAAATGTGGGCACATTACCCATGTCTATTTATTTTTCTGAATTTTGTGTTCAGTTAAAATCACTGAATCTATTTTCATTTCCTTGATGTTACAGTATATACGTACAAATGAAAGATCAGGATGTGTGTATAAATGGAATACCCTGAGAATATACAATACTACTGCAGTTTTCAAATGTAGATACCACCCGAATTGTCTGATTTTTTTTTTAATATTCTGATTATTTTGTGTTCTATGACCAAGGCGTGGAATGTGCCAGGTGCTTTTGAATGTGCAGAAGGCTGTGGCCCACGGTACAGGCTCTCCTGCTCCCCAGTCCCCTCTCTTGTGCCTTCTGAGTCACTGTCCACCCCTCTGACATCCCTCCTTGGGCCTCTGTACTGAGCCTGCTGAGGAAAGTGTAGCAGGTTTGTGAGAGAACTGGGAGTCTTTGCTTCCTTTTTACCTGATATAAAGACAAATTCAAGGTCTTATTTTTTTTTTTTTTGAGACGGCGCCTCAAGCTATCCCCCTGGGTAGAGTGCCATGGCATCACGCTCATAGTAACCTCCAACTCCTGGGCTCAAGCGAGTCTCCTGCCTCAGCCTCCCAAGTAGCTGGGACTACAGGCGCACAGTGCCTGGCCATTTTTTTTTTTGGTTGCAGCCATCATTGTTGTCTGGCGGGCCCGGGCTGGGGAATCGAACCCGCCACCTTAGGTGTATGTGGCCGGCGCCTTAGCCGCTTGAGCCACAGGCGCCAAGCCAAGGTCTTATAGTTTCTGTGGAATTTAAGACCATATCCTGACAGGAATTAAATTTGGAGATTAGTGTTGATAGTGATGACAATCAGGCTTACCAAAACATCAAGTACTGATAAGACTCCAGAAAGCACAGTGACTAGCTTCCTTCTCTCTATTACCGGTTTTGTGTAACTAGGTGTTACAGTTACAAGGGACCTGAGAACCCTTCAGAGCACAAGAGGATACCCTTTGTTTTAGAATGCACCCTTCCAATATACCATATAAAATTCTGCTGAAAATGAGACCAGTTAGAATAATATTATTCATACTGATCAAAGGTCAAGGTGTTTGGCTAAGGAAGAGCTTTGAAAATTGGAAGAAATCAAGATATTTTATGGTAGAAGTTTAAAATTACTTTTTATTTTTCTGGAGCAAGCTAGTTTATTCAAACTAAACAGGCAGTTTTATGTGAATTGTCTTCTGCCAGGGAACAAAATGATCAACTACACCAGAAAGTGGGATGTTCAATTTTAGAAATTCTAAACTGTTTAGAGACTGTAATACTGAATGTTTTTCTCAAGTCACTAAGAAGTTGAATATCACTAACTATATTATCCATTCATTATTTCCATATTTAAAAGTAAATTGTACCCATAAGGTAAATGTGGTCGTTTATATAGCCTATGAAATAGAAAAGAAAATCAAGATTATTATCATTGATAACCTACGTTTGTGGGTGTCAAAAGGCAAGAGTGAAGCATGAGGCTGAAAACTGGGGACCTCTGGAAATCTGTGTGTAGAACAGCAGGTAGATGCCTGCAGGTTCCTGCCCTGTCCTCCTAGTTTTGGGGAAGTTTGCTTTTTCCTACCATGTCAGGAGATACTAGTGTTAGGAGGTATATTATGTGGGGAAAAATGAAACATATAGGATCCAGAATTGGAAAATCTAGGCCCTGCAGAGATTAGGGAGATTCTGTACTGCAAAAGAAGGGGTTAAATTAGGGGACGTCTGAATGATGGGGCACATGCTGAATGATGGGGACAATGCTGAATGATGATTTGTCCCAGTACCTTGGTGTGGCTGATCATCGGCCTCGTGACAGCTGGGTCTCACACATACTGTCCCCTCCTTACTTGAAAGGTGTTTGTCTAAAGAAGATGAACACAGAGTAAAAAACCTAAATCTTAACTTTTGGGTGCCCAATTATCAGGTTCTTGCCTTCTACCCAAAGAGCCTATCCTGGTGTGCACACACGCAGAGATTCCAGTCAGTTCTTGGGTGCCTTGGTCCTAAGTGTAAACAGACAACAAAGGGTAACCATAGGATTGAGGCAAACCCTGAACTACTGTATAAATAAAGTAAATGGAAAGGGTGGCGCCTGTGGCTCAAAGGAGTAGGGCGCTGGCCCCATATGCTGAAGATGGCAAGTTCAAACCCAGCCCGGGCCAAAAATTGCAAAAAATAAAATAAAATAAAATAAAATAAATGGAAAAAAGAAACTTGAAAATAGACATTGGAGGAGGCAGAAGAACTAAAAAAAAAATTTTATTTACACCTTCAAAGTTAAGACATCACATCAATGGAAGTGAGCTGGTTATTTTACAAAATGGGTAATCAGAATAAGAAGGAGTTCTTATGATTTTAATATAGTAGAAGTATTGCAAAATAAAGTTGAATAAATCTTCCAAAAAGTCAAAGCAGTAGCTAAAATGGGAGAAAAGACATAGAAATTAGATTATTGCAAAGTATACCGTTCTTCTAGCAAGAACTCCAGAAAGCGAAAACCAAGGGCAGTAATTATCAAGAAATAATACAAAAATTCCTCAGAACTGGAGGACATGTGGCTCCAAGTTGAAGATGCTACTGAAAGCCCAGGGCAAGATAAGAAAGCACATTATCATGAAAGTTTAGTGTAGGGAATACAGAAAGAATCTGAAAGTTTCTAGGAAGAAAAAAAATCAGGTTACATGTAAAGGGTCAGAAATGGCATTGAATGGAAGTTAGAAGACAGCAGACCAAAGCTTTAAGATTTAAGAGGCAAAATAATTTCTCACCTAGAACTCTTTACCCAGCCAAATTGTGAGGTAAGTGTTAGGTAAAATAAAATATTTTCATAGATGTAGACCTTCAGAGTATTACACCCCATGTATCCATTTATAAGAAGCTAAAAAAATGAGCTAGTAAACCAAGGAAGAGGGAGACACAGAATCCAAGAAAGGACAGTGAAGAGAAGTCCTGGAGTGCAGTGACTTAGCAGGCTTAGAGGGCAAGCAGTATCAATGCACCAAGAAAGTGGAGGGCTCACCAGAAGAGGATCCATAGATAAATTAACAGGGTACATGGTTGTCTCAGTTCATGTTATGCTGCTACAGGTTAAATATTTGAAATTGTTTGAAATGCTTAAGACCAATGTATTGGATTTCAGGGACTTTTTTTTCTTATTTTGGAGAATTTGCATGTACATAATGAGATATGTATCATGAGGATAGGAGCCAAGTCTAAACACAAAATTCATTTGTGTTTCATTTATACCTTATGCACATAACATGAGAGTAATTTTATACGATATTTTTAGCTTTTTTCATAAGGCAAAGTTTGGACTGCATGTGACTGCAACCTGCATTTTTCACATGTGGAATCATTGTCAGTACTCAAAGTTTCACATTTTGGAGGGCTTCAGATATTTGTATCAGGTATGCTCCACTGCATAACAGAATACCACAAACTGGGTAATTTATAAAGGAAAGAGATTTATTTGGCCCATGGTTCTAAAGGATGGGAAATCCAACATCAAGTGGCTACATCTGACCAGGGCCTTTTTATAGCATCATTAACTCTGAGAGGAAGTAGAGTTCGAGAGATAGAGAAAGGGTGGGAGCCAGACTCATCCTTTGTATCAGATACTCATTCCCTAGATAAATAACCATGTCTACAGTAACAGCATTAGCCATTCATGAGGGTATAGCCTCAGGACCTAATCACCTCTTACAAGTCCCCCTGCCCAGTACTGTTACAATGGGCAGTTAAATTTCAATATGAGTTTCAGTGGGGATATTCAAACAGCAGTGGTATTGAAACTGTGTTAACCTGAAACAATAAGAAAAATAAAGAAAATGTATTTTTGAGTGGTTTATTTGGAGAATTGGGAAGGAGTTTGTGATAGAAACTAAGAACTTGAGTAAACCAAAACATGTAAGCAACTACCTTGTGGAGGCCAGATACTCGTTGAAGGTGACAGCATGCTAAAACTGGGCCAGATGGGGTGGTGCCTGTGGCTCACAGGAACAGGGCGCCAGCCCCATGTGCCAGAGGTGGCGGGTTCAAACCAGGCCCGGGTCAAAAACTGCAAAAAAAAAAAAAAAAAAAAAAAAAACTGGGCCAGATGACAGTTTGGGTTTGCATAGGCTACACAAAGAGTGAACAGCAGTTCTAAGAAGGACTGAGTATACATGGCAGGGAAAAAATGATTTTCCTTCCTTCTGTCTAAAATTGATAAGAAATTGTAATATAACCATGTTACTTAGAAATGTACGAAGTAAAAAGAAGAAAAAAGTAGATGAAATATTTGCAATGGAACTTGCAGTAGAATGCTGGTATGGCGGAGCACTGCTGCCTTTTCATTATAAGTTGACTTTTTAGTCTATGTCTTTAGTCTTTTTACTTTGATAAAAATGCATGCACTACATGGTAACCATGATAGTGTAATGGAGAGGGGGATGCAAGATGTAGGATAACATTCTTTAGATGGGATGGTCAGACAACGAGAGTGGTGAGAAGTGATTGTGTGCTGACAGAGGAGGAGTGCTGCCAGACTTTGAACTCAAAAGGAGCTAGATGAGTTCCTGGGCCTGAAAGAAGGCTGGAGTCTGGAGTAATGAGGGGATTGTAAGAGAGAAAGGCTGAAGAGAAGTAGGCGTGTGTCAGATCATCCTAGATCATAATGGTTTATGAGTTATTATAACTTTGCTTTTAGCCTAAGGCACCATCTGCATAAAAGGTCCTACTCCTCTCTGTACTTGATGAAAACTTAATGTTCTCTGACTCAGGCTTTTAAGGATGGTCTACCATGTGCTTTTTTTTTTTTTTCTTTGAGACAGATTCTCACTCTGTCACCCTGGGTAGAGTGCCATGGAGGGATGGCTCACAGCAACTTCAAACTCTTGGGCTCAAGAGTTCCTCTTGCCTCAGCCTCCTGAGTGGCTGGGACTACAGGGACCCACCACAATGCCTGGCTAGTTTTTCTATTTTTAGTAGAGATGGAGTCTCACCCTTAGGCTGGTCTCAGACTCCTGAGCTCAGGTGATCCACCTATCTCAGCCTCCCAGAGTTTTAGGATTATAGGCATGAGCCACCATGCCTGGCCTACCATGTGCATTTAAAATAAATATTTAGTTTAGAGGTGCATTATTTTTTTTTGAGACAAGATTGCACTCTGTCATGAGGCTGGAGTGTGGTGATCTCATCATCTTAGCTCACTACAACCTTAAATTCCTGGGCTTAAGTGATCGACTTACATCAGCTTCCTGAGTAGCTGGACTATAGGCATATACCTCACTCTAGTTTTTTTAGAGGTAGGAGTCTTACTCTTGCTAAGGCTGTTTTTGAACTTCTGAACTCAAGTGATTCTTCTTCCTTGGCCTCCCAGAGTGCTAGGATTACAGGCATGAGGTACCATATCCAGGCTAGAGGTGGATTTTTGTAGTGGGTTATTCTTTGAGTCAGAGAATTTTCTGGAATACTAGTTCTTGATTGACTTTGAATGAAAGGCAATGTAAACATAGAATTTTTCCTTTAACTTCCACTGCCCAAAACTCTGATGTATTTTGACCGCAGGTAGTATACCTGTATTTGATGTGAAGAGTCATTAGAGAATATTTTAACATTGAAGTTGGGCCTTTTATTATTATACTTATTATTATGGCATTTGGGTAACTTTTAGGCTACCACAGTCTAGGAAGAATTGAACTCTGGTTTTGAAAAATATATACCTTTTAAAAATAACACTATTACTAATTATTTCTTCTCCTCCTCCTCTTTCACCCTACACCTCTTTTTTCTTCTTTTCTGTCTTTATTTTTATTTCTTTCTTTATTTTTTGGAGACAGCGTCTCAGTCTGGCACCCAGGCTAGAGGACTGCAGTGCCATTATCATAGCTCACTGCAGCCTCAAACTCCTGGGTTCAAATAATTCTCCTCTCTCATCCTCCCTTCCCAAGGAGCTGGGACTATGGGCATACACTATTACATCCAGCTAATTTCTCTCTCTCTTTTTTTTTTTTGTAGAGAAAAAAAGTCTTACTCTTGCTAAGGCTGGTTTCAAACTCCTGACCTCAAGCAATTCTCCTACCTTGGCCTCCCAGGGTGCTAAGATAATAGGCATGAGCCACTGTGCCTGGCATCACTATTACTAAATTCTTAAGAAAATTGATCATATCAGAATTGTGGACTATAAGAACTCATCTTATATATAAAAGTAATTACTTAAAAGTAATTTTGATTGTGACTAGAATTTTCTTTAGGAAGATGCGTAGAGCGTGTTCCCTTTCATGGTGTACACAGAAGTGGTAAAGAGAGTGTGTCCTCTGCACGGCCCCGTCTCCCTGTGGGTCTTTTACCCTCTTGCTCCAAAGTCTCTACAGCCGTCTCCTCCAATACCTGCTGACTCCTCTTTGTCTCTCCATTCATTTATTTGATAAATGTGTTGCAAGCGCTCACTGTGTATCAGACACTGTTCACTTTGCTTTGGTTAGCTTTATAGAGCATTTGTATTTGGACATATTAAAGGCTTTCTTCTGAATTATTTGTCTTAAGCAATGTAATTAGTATAGAAGTAAAAACAGCTTAGCTCTGCCACTAAATTAAAATCCTGACAGATAACTTATTTTTAGCCTCTGTTTTTTCCCCAGGTACTTGATGCAAATGTTCTGTGTCATTGTTTCTTACAGGTATGCTGGAGCAATGGAAAGATTGCAGGCAGAGACTGAACTTATTAATAGGGTAAATAGTACTTACCTTGTGAGGCACAGGACCAAAGAGTCAGGAGAATATGCAATTAGCATTAAGTAAGTAGGACACGTACTTTTACAGAAATAGATTTCCTGTTTTCATAATTGCATAGCCCATCTGACATGTATAACACCAAAGTTGAAAACCAAAGTTCTAATTACAGCAGAAATAATGCATCTATCCTGACAGTTCATTAATACTTGAAAATATCTGTTAGAAAAACAGTAACAAGTGTTATAGGCTGCTAATTGGCACATTAGATTTCTTTCCTAACATTGTATCTCGGTGATTTGATGTATGTCTGTTTCTCGCAAATTCTAAGAGTATAAATTACTAGATTTTCTTTTGTTTTTCTGCATTCTGAAACTGAACTTACTAAATAAGTTGAGTGTGATGATTCATCAAATCCAAGCCCCCTTTTTACTTCAGATATTGGTTGTATCATCAACTAATCTAGTAAATATATTTTGTTAATTAGCTGCCACCAGTGTATTGGCATAGGTATATATTTTCTCTGCAGAATTAATTCCTATGATGTTTTGGGGGCATGCCCTCTGGTAATTATTGATTCCTACTGATTAAAGACACATTTATATTCATAAGTTATTCATTACCCGCAGGTATAACAATGAAGCAAAGCACATCAAGATTTTAACAAGAGATGGCCTTTTTCACATTGCAGAAAATAGAAAATTTAAAAGTTTAATGGTAAGCATTGATTATTTCTTTTCAATCTGGGATCCTTGTTTTTCTGTTGTTAGAAAGGTCAGTTAAATTCTAGAGTTTTCTGGAAATTTTGCTGACCGAAAATTGATTTAAGGAGAGTCATGCTATGACCTTGCAGCAGAATCCTGAAAATGAGAATTTTAAGAAGGAAAGTAAGTTTTATGTTACCCGAATTGTATTTTTCATTGTAAACTGAGTTGGCAAGTGTTAGATAACATTTCAGAGTCTGTGGCTACTTCAGATTCTTAAAACAATGACAAATTCACATAGAAATATAATCAACTTCGAGTTATTTCTGTGAAGTGGCTTATGTTTGAATGACACCAGGCAAATTTTTTTTTTGTTTGTTTGTTTTTTGAGACAGAGCCTCAAGCTGTCCCTCTGGGTAGAGTGCTGTGGCATCACAGCTCACAGCAACCTCCAACTCCTGGCCTCAAGCAAGTCTCTTGTCTCAGCCTCCCAAGTAGCTAGGACCACAGGCGCCCACCACAATGCCCGGCTATTTTTTGGGTTGCAGCCATCATTGTTGTTTTGGTGGTCCGGGCTGGATTCGAACCCTCCACCTTAGGTGTATGTGGCTGGCGCCTAAGCCACTTGAGCCACAGGCGCTGAGCCACTGGGCAAATTTTTAATCTGCTTTTCTTTCTTCTTCTTCCTTCTATTGCTTCTACCTCCTCTTTGGGACAGAGGAAGATATTTTAATTACAACATGAAACATTATAATTAGTAAAATGCCTCTCATATTTAGGTTCGTGTCATACCAAATGCAACCCAAAGTCAAATTGAAAAGATTTTCACATTTTCTGCTATTTTAAATGATGTATGTTATGATTCTCATTTATTACCTTAAGTCTTAATAAGATTACGTTTGTCTCACAACCGTTGCTATTTCATAAAAGTTTTATATTTAAAAGGAAATTTTACATTGTTAAATTGTTTCAAATAACAGGATTATTTGATTTTAAATCATCATGATTTAAAGAAAACTACAACTTAACTCCCTTGGTATTTAAGAATCCTGTGTATACATCATATAAATGATGCATATATTCCATTGTGTATGCATTGCTTAACAGTAAAGAAAAAATGTATATGTCCTTACAAGTGGTCTCAAGTTTATCTCACAAGTTCAGTAATTCTGTGGGATAAATTTGGAGTAGGAAATAAGCTGCATTTGTAGCTGCTAAGTACTCTGAGTAACACTGGGAAGGACCACTCATTGATTGAACCATCAATCAAACGATACATACTGCGTCCTTCCGGAAGACATCTCCAAGCACTTCGCAGATGTTAACATTAAAGTTGAAAGTACACGTCAGAGAGCCTTACAAAATAGGGCAGCTTGAATGCCTTGTCTAAAAATTTAGAAGTGCTTCAAGAGAGGGATCCGTGTTTTAAGGAAATTGAAGCATCTTGAATTCAAAGAAAAGTAAGCAAACCTCTCTGGACATGAATACTACATCGTCAGTTCTGAAGGTAAGGTCATGTCTTGGAAAATGCAAACTCCATCAAATTGGTGCCCAAGATCTAGGCATCCTTCCTGGTGGAAGTGACTTACATTCTGTTGAAACAAGTGGGCTGTTCACAGAGAGAAAGCGACCAGAGGAAGTTCTTCACAAAATGGAAACCTAGGTGAGAGGTGGCAAGTGGATGCATAGATAACAGGTGACACATGCAGCTGGAATGTGATTAAAGCAGCACAGGGACTTTCCGCGTCTCTGCGAGATGTACCAGCGTGAGCTCTCACCAGCAGCACTTGCTGAGATGGTAATGAGCCTGTTCCATAATGTTGCAGTTAATATGAGACTTAAAAAAATGCTGTAGGGCCTTCGATGTCTGCCAGCCCTGCAGACTTTGAAAGCAGCAAAAGAACTCCCATCAGAGAAGATAAGCAAAGAGGATGAGAGGAGTCGTCACTGGAACGGGCCAATTTAGCTTTGTGTCACCTGGGTTCAGCTCAAGGAAGTTTATCAGCTGCTAAGGTTAGATGTGAAAGCCAGGAACACCACAGTGACCTTGATTAGCAGCCACAGATCCTCAAGCTCCTATCTGCATGTAAAGCGTGATTGTAGTAAAAACCCTAGAGACCCAGAATTCAAATAATTTGCATCGGAGAGTGGTGAAAGTTTTTGCAACGATGTTCTGGAAAAGGAATTATTCCAGAGTTCCTTGTCATAGGGCTAACATAGGCTGCCATTATACAGTGTATATACAATCTCAGAAATGCCACCAGTAGGGACCTACGAATATCTATCTTTCTCTCCCTTATCTGAGGATCTTTTGTAAGGAAGCACGTATCACAGTGACTTATAGGGAAGGGTTTAAAAACAGACAGTAAAACTACAATGGAACTGAAAAGTATTAGCCAAAGGATAAAATTGTGAAAAGAGAGGAACTAAAAAATCTCAGTATCACAAAAGTATTTTTGTCAGGTTTAGCTAATAACTATAAAATTAGCTGAAGAGGCAGCTGCACTAGTCTGGAGGTAACTCTTATTTTCATTTCTATTTATTTATTGAGAAAGCTTATACTGAGTCCTCACTGTATGAAATCACTGTGTTTTAGAGAATTCAGAAAGAATATGCCTGTTCTAAGAAACCTTACATGCTAGGAAACCCCTGCACCAAAAACTTCACAAGAGTTCAGTCCTTTGAACCTAAGCTCAGAAACGCCACACGGGTACCTGGTCAGAAGAAACAGCTGGCGTTTCAGTCCCCAGACCTTTTGGAAGGAAGTAGAAGGTTCACAGGTCTGTGGATCGAGTTGTTATTTAAGAGTAGTTTGGCATCCTTCAATCAATTGTTGGTGTTAGAGTTATACTCTTTGTAACCTCTGAAATGTAATAGACCCTGGGGCTACATTTTAATCCATAAAGAATATAAAACACAAGCAAATTCTGGAGCTTGTTTTATCTTTTCTTTTTATTTTTTTTTTTTGCTAAAAAAATTCATTTATTTTTTAATAATTATTTTTTATTAAATCATAACTTTGTACATTGATGCATTTATGGGGTTCAGGGTACTGCTTCAGTATACAATGTGAAATGTTTACATTGAACCAAGTAACACATCCATCACAATTATACTCAGTTCTTAGCTTGTTTTCAGTTAACCAGTTTCTACAGATTGGCCTTCGGTGGTTATGACCTAACCCTTCTCTCTTGGGTTTCAACAGCTTGGTTCATCAGAATCTTTATTTTTCTTAGTCATTAAATTCAAATCCTAAATGGATTTCTGTATCCAGATTACAAGGCATTAATTTTGTTCTAATTTTCATGTTTGCCAGACAATCCATGTGCAAATGCAGTTTATAAACGGTCTCCGTTGCCTGTTTCCTTGGTAATTGGAACCGCTGGCTCTCACTCATTACTTTTCACAGAGACCTGAATTGTTGACACTGCTGTGTCCGTGCGAGATAAGGAAAGCTTAGCGATTTCTTTTGTTTAGAGTCTTCTTATTTACTTGTTGTACCTGAAGGTCAATGACTGCTAAAGCAGGGGTGGATTAGACTAGAATACAGAAAGCATAAAGGCATAAACTGGCAAAGATCCATGGTGCTACTATTTAATTCTACCCGTTAGAAGCATGTAGGGAGATTTACCCTCCTAAGACTGTAAAAATGGAACCGAAATATCTTCCAAGCTTGGTGAAGTGATAAAAAGTGTTTTGCAGGTTGCTAAACCTCATGACCCTAGGCCTTGGAAAAGTAATGTTTTTCTTCCATAAAATTTGGAGTTGAGTGGGTATTAAATGATCAGCAAATCCCTTTTCAGTATGATAATTCTATGGTTGCAAGCCAACTTCACATAAATTTTAATCCACAGTTAATTCATAGCAAAATTCAGATTACCTGTAGTGAGGTTACATTTGAGTTCAAAGCTATTGGCTTATAATTCCTTTCAGGTTTGTTTTCGTACTGCTAAAGAAAAAAGTATATTTTATCAATTTAAATGACAAGACAGAACAACTCCTTGGTATCAATTATATTGGTAAAACAGTATACTATGCGTGCACAGTTCTTCCAGAGACCTTACAAAATTTTGTTTTGCAATTTTTAAAATTTAAATAACAATATTAGTCACTAAGTAGAGTTTAATTCTAGATCGTGTCTTTGCAAACCATGTTTAAAATCACCATCATACAAATGCCATATTCTGATCGTTGAAGCCATTTTGAGGATGGAAACTTTCTTTTGGGTTTTTCTTTGTTTTTATAGATTGGTCTGATTCCATATTCCTAAGCTTTTTCAAGGATTCCTATATGGGCCAAGGAAGGAAAAAAGAAAGGAAGAAGGTTTTTTTTTTGGCAGTTTTTGGCCACTGTTCGGTTTGAACCCGCCACCTCCGGCATATGGGGCCAATGCCCTACTCACAGGCGCTGCCCAGGAAGAAGTATTTTTTTTAAGTTATAGATATAATGAATGTGAGACTCTGGCCTCTTATGTCTAAGAAAACAAAGTTCCTGGTGCACCGTGGACACTTAGCAAATACTACTTCCCTTTTGTCTGCCTTTTAAAAATTTGCAGATACTATTTGCTAATAGTAGGAGCTGTAGTCCAGAGCACTAACGTTGGAGACACACACCAGTTACATTTACTAACTCACAGAAATTCGAGCATCAATGATGAAAAGGCCCATCTCACAGGTTCTTGAGCCTGGAGCATGGGATAATGGCAGCTGTTATGCTTACGTCCATGTTCAGGTACTTTGTATATTCCGTCACGGTCTGTGAAAAGGTTTATTATAAACGTGGGGATTGAAAAATCTCATTTGCTTTATCCAGTGCTTTAGCCAAACCATATTGCTTTTAGCTCCTGAAGGGAGTCTTTACTTTATCCCCTTTACGTCTGTTCCCAGCTCGGCTGCTCGACCTAAAGTGATCCTTCTGCTGTTCCTGGCTGTTTTAATTTTACCTGTTCTTCAATTTAGGCCAGGCTACCTCTATCATGAAATCTTCCCTCATCCCTCCTACTGGACACCCAGTATTGAAGTTCTCTCATGCATTTGAACTTTCCCTTCTAGGACGAGAACCCTTAGAGGACAGGAGCCTTCTCTTCATAATCTTTGTGACCCCTGACATTCCTAGCATGATGCATTCCACAACCTTTCCAAGTTTTGTCAAATAATAAATCACTGACACTTCTTTTTTCCTTCTTCTGGGTAATTTTGGGATTTACCAATTGATTGGTTACCAATTGATTGGTTACCAATCGATTGGTTACCAATTTTGGGATTTACCAATTGATTGGATTTACCAATTGATTGGTTACCAATTGATTGGGATTTACAAATTGATTTGTTTTGGGACCTTTAATTATAACCTAAAGGAGGTGTTGAGTTGATGAAGTGTTGTTTTTAGAAGAAATGAATTGCTTTTCTACTTTTTTAAAAAAAAGATAGTGTGATGGAAGCATTGAATAATTAGGTTATAAGTGATTTCATGTTTATTTTCATTTCAAAATTTTTTTTACATTTTTATACTAGCCTTTTTATTTTTAATACTGTTAAGCCATGAATTATGCCATGAATTCAAAGGGAAAAATTTCAGCAGCTGGTCAGAGAGGCGCCTTTCCATGAAGGTGACAAAGCTTGCTATGCCTATTACACTGTGAGCTCCTGGGGAATAGGTTCTAGCACTGGTTCTTCCTGGTTCTCCTGTGCGCTACACTGTACACCTGTTATGCCATGAACTCATGGGGAGTAGGTTCCAGCATTTTATGCTTCTGCTCACCTGGTTCTCTTGGTTTTCCTGTGTGCTACGCTATACACCTATTATGCCATGAATTCATAGGGAATGGGTTCCAGGAGCTCAGGCTCCTTTCCATTGGTTCTCACAATGTGTACTTCTCTGGGTGAAGCAGGCTGGAGCTCCACTTGAACCCAGGAACCTTTCTCTTTGGCTTCCTTTTTTTCCGATCATTTTCCTTCATGCCTTTCAGGATGGTATCTCAGCTCTAAGAGTGTTTAATGTGTCAATACGAACATTAATCCTCTTGGCAAGAATCTTGCCTTTAACTTATTTACAACAGTGCCAATAGCACGCTGGGTAACTTTGTAGACTCTTCTAGTTTTGCCAAGGTAACATGCCTTGTTGAACAGTACCCATTCCCTTGATGTCTACAATACCACCTTTCTTGTAGATTCGCATATATGTGGCCAAAGGAACAACTTCATATTTTCTACAAGGCCTAGAGAACATGTATCGGGTGCCTCTCCTCTCTCCCCTTGTGTTTGTCATTTTGGTGAATTACTGGAAGATGGTGCCCCTCATTTCAAATATTTCTAAGAAACTTTATAGCTGCAATACTCATGCAATGACAAGATGCACTTTTTATTGTGAATTATTATTCACAATAGAGGGATTCACAGTAGAGGGATTAAGATTTGTGCAGAATTCATGAAACCAATGTATGAAAAGAAAAGTTCCTGAAATTTTAGTCTGAAAGATGGTGGGTAGTTATTACATTAGACTTGGTTGTATTTAAGGCAAATTCTTCAGTAGGGAAAATTGGAAAGAGCCACATTATGGCCCTCTGAGTAGCAGATAACATTACAGAGCTGTGATGGGAACTTACACTTCATCATCGTAAACCAGAAGCAATACCAAGTGCCATTTGTGCTTTACCAACTTTTGTTTACCATGAAAAAATATATTCAGTATCAAATTTGTTGTTTTTGCTGTGTTGAAAGAAAACGCAGGAAGAAACTAGAAATTGCTATATATATTCAGCAGGCAGCTGTTCCTTTTATTTATTTATTTTTAGAATGGCAAGTATTTCATAAATGAGAACAATAATTACTACTCTGAAATTGAGGTTTAATACAGTTTCCTTTTATTTACCACATCTGACTAAAGTCTAACAGGATGTTCTCTATCTGTGACTGACAACAAGGGGTAACTTACATGATAAATGGTCTGAGTTCCAAGGACAACTACTAGGTAGGTGTCAAGTGCGTCCAGACTGTGGGAAGAGATTATCACTTCCTTACTCTTTCATACGCATATGAAAAATTTTATGTTAAGGTGATCAAGGTGATCATTCTTACAGTGTATATAATGATGTGTCAAGGAGTTTATATGTTTGAGAGCAAAAGGATCCTTATCCAAGATAATCTATAATTCTTTTTTTCTAAAAGGAACTTGTGGAGTACTACAAGCATCATTCCCTCAAAGAAGGGTTCAGAACCTTAGACACAACTCTGCAATTTCCATACAAAGAGCCAGAACATTCAGCTGGACAGAGGGGTAACAGAGCAGGCAATAACTGTGAGTATTGTAATTGAAAATACGATTTTCTATCCCTTAAGGATTGGAGGAATGATATTATAACATTAAGCATCTTCAGGCCAGATTTTGAAAGATAACCAATGACTACATTAAGGTATTGAACAAACACGTTTTCTGGAACTAAGCAGAATCAGATGGGCCACCAGGCTTATGAACGTGTCTTCTTAAAGATCTTTGTGCCAAATTAAAAATTGTGTTTGTATTCAGAAAACTCATCAGAAATGTAAAGAGTGTGTTAATATGTAAATTTTGTACTTTCCATTGACTTTTATATTAACCAAATTCTTTTTAACTTCTACATGAGGTTTGTAGTCATAATGCTGTTTAAATACTAGTATTTAAGAAAGCCTGGTGCCCGGCTCTCCCATTAGCCTGGTATCTCATATCTACTCATGAGTCTATTTCATGGACTGTGTTTAGAATTTTGAAGTGACTAACACGTTTTTTTGAATCCCAGCATTTCTAAAACCATCCATTTGCCGCTTTGTTTTAGAATGAGCACTGTGCTACAACTAATTATAAAAGATTGGCATAGGAACAAAAGTATGTTGCACTTTGAGCGTGAGTCCAAGTCAAACCCCTTTTTTTCTCATCACTTAAAGTTCCATCATTTTCCTGGTTATAGATGTAACACGTGAAGAGAACATTGTGATGAATAATGTTGTGAGGAATGTGTGATTTCATTCCTTTATTTTGATATCATTTAAAAAATATTTTGGGAAAGAAATGAATGCAAGTTTATTACTCTTAGACTCTTTAGCCTAAGCAAAACTGGCATATCTCGAGGCATGTGAAGAAAGAATTTGCATCCAGTTATTTTTTTATTTTTATTTTTTTGCAGTTTTTGGCTGGGGCCAGATTTGAATCCACCACCTCTGGTATTTGGGGCCTGTGCCCTGCTCCTTGAGCCACAGGTGCCACCCCCTGCATCCATTTAGTATAACTTTTTCCCCGAAAAGCAGAAACTAAAAGGGAAACAGGTAATGCTCAGGATTCCAACAATACCAGTAAAACTTCATGCACTTCAATATAAGTAAAAACATGTAGTTTGTGCCATCAGCACACAGGTTTTTTTCTTTTGGCTTTGAATGTTTTAAAAGCTCTTCTCCTCTCAGTGATCAGTGATAGATGCCTGAGTGTGTGCAGTAGAAGTAGTAAGAACACATTTATGTTAAAACTTTAAATACCTATTAAATTTTATCTATTTCTTTACCCCAGTACTGTCTAATTATCTTAGATTCTCATATAGGCATAATTTTTGCTCATTCAAAAATGGAAGTTTTTCCTAAAAAAAGGGTTCTCTTACAAATTTCTTAAAAGTCTATCCAAGTTATGGCTTTTCCTCCAACATGCAACACATAATTTTCAGCTCTCTTTTCCTTTGTCTTCCCAGCAGCAGGAGGTGCTAAGAGTTTTCAGGGAAGTCATTTATACAAAAAGACTTGTTCGAGCTGTTCCCTTAGTTCTAGAGGACCTGGGAGGGAGAAGTGGACATACAGGGAGGACGGATATCCCACATTAGGTCAGAGGGCTGTTAAGTCTCGCATTTCACTCTGTAGTTTACTCCCAGGCACTTCCTCAGGGATTGGCACGTGGTGGCTCAGAGAACATTGTCCAGCAATGAATGCAGTTGCCGAACTTAAAATTTGTCTCTAGTGTTTAATGAAGTGCTTGTTTAGCAACTAGGAAGGGAATTTTAAAGGCCTTTTTGTTTGTTTGGAGCATAGCCACTGGGATGATTTTGAATAACCGTGCTACTTCAAATTTTTCAACCAATAAGAGCCAGGAGTTCAAACTTCCCTCCCCAGGCTTTTTGAAAGACTCTTGCAACTTAAGTCAAGCCACTCAAACCCTTTTGTATTTGAGAAGGAAAAGCAAATCCTTCATTTAAAATTTAATCTTTGTGATCAGTTTATTCATTCATTCAAGAGATTTATATTAAGCACACACAAGGCGATGTTCTGGTCCTCAGATATAGCAATTAGGAAGACCCAGTCCCTGCATTTGAGATGGAGTTTACATTTTAATAGGGAGACTCAGGCATGTCTGGGTTACAGGAGTTGGATATTTTTGTACAGAGTCATCAGGGAAGAGCTCTCCTAAAGTAACTTAAAAGAACTGATGAGGGAGTGAGTCAGTAGGTCAGTCAGCAGTGATTGCACAGAGGTTAACACTCAGATTATTCCTTCATCAGCACCGAGAGGGATTATAATCTAAGATCACATGTGTGCTAATATCCCAGTGTTTTAGTTACTCTACACCGACTTTGTCTATAAGGAGAGGAACACGGAGCTGGTTCTGAGGACTCAGTGGTGCGGAGTCAGCGCTGATGCTGCCCCTTCTCCCACCGCTGCTGCGGCTGCTGACTCTTCTCTAACACAGCAGACACATGTCCCTATATTTTTGAGGCTTGTCTAAATTTACAGATTACAATGTTTGCAACAATTGATAACTTTGCTTCTGTGATTTCTAAAGATGTAAATTGCTTATTTTGTTCCAAATGCTGCTTAAGGGTTAACCCTTAAGGAAAACACTGCCACTACCTTTATGCATGTTACACTTCCCAGAAAATGGTAAGGAGGAAATACTCCCTGTTCAGTATAGAAAGATTATGCAGGATGTCTTTTTAGTCCTTATCTCTGCTTCACGGTGTTAGGTGTGTTGCTAAATAGCATCTACAAATAACTCTCACTAGCAGTGTTACCCTGGGATCCTGGATTAGACAGAGCACCAGCATCTCCATTCCTGGTCTAAAAGGTCGTGGAGGGTGCCGAGCAGGCCAGGTAAACCTTGGTACCATCCTGGGTTCTGGGGAGAGGTTGAGAATGGAAATTTACTCCCTGGAACCTACTGTTTATTATTATTTTTAAACGACATAATCACCTTGGAAAACATTGTCCCAGGGCATTGTGGAAGCTGCTTGCTTCTGGGCTAGTCTAGGTTAGAATGTTCTTGGCATGATTGCTAGCTATCTCTCACGTCTGTGCCATACAACACAGTTAGGGCAACACTACTTCATACAGGTGCAGAATAACATGTAGAAAGATACTGAGTAGGATTAAGCAAGATTCTAAAGTGTTAACAAGGAGCAGAATGTTTCTAGCCCACTCTAGGCTGTCTCTCAGATGAGGGGTTTTCTCTTTATCTATAGAATGACTGAAGGGTGTTTATAAGAGAGAAAGAGAAGGAGATAGAATTGGGCCTCACTGTGAGCTCTCGAGCTTCCCCTAGAAACTACAGTGTCTCCATGGAAGATCTGTGTAAGAGTTCCATTATTTCCCAAAGCAGTCATAGCAAATCTGCCTTAGATTGCTATAGGTATGCCTGTAGGGCTTGTACATTTGAAGGGCATTAAATTGACTTTTGCCTTTCTTGCTCTACAGTGAGCACTTAATTATTTTCAGGTCTGCCCCTGAGTAGATATCTGACCTTAAGTGAGTCACTTAACCTGTCTGGGCCTCGCCTTTCTCATCTGATGAATGAGAAATGAGGTTAGAGATTCTATTGCGTTCTTTTAAAAATAGCATCTTAGGTTTCTTTCGTTGTGTGCATGAGAGAAGGAGGTGAGGTAGAATGGTAATAGATCATTGCGCTAAGGAAATTTGCACAGTTAGCGATTTCGTGACTCCTAAGACAGGCCTTAAACATTTTCCCCAAGTTTTTATTGATGGGGAATTAATTGGGCCTCAGAATGAAGGTAGGTAATTTTTAAAATTTTTTTCACTGTCCAAAAAAAATTTTTTTTTCCACTGTCCACAAGAACTGGATGGAACTGGAAAATGTTCTTCTTAGCAAAGTATCACAAGAATGGAAGAAAAAGTATCCGATGTACACAGCCCTGTTATGAAACTAATTCATAGTTCTCAAATGAAAGCTACAACCTAATTCTAGCCCAAGAATATGGGGAGGGGGTAAGGGAGGGGAGGGGAGAAGGGCAGATGGGTGGTGATTGGAAATATCACCTATATGGTCTGTCTTACAAAGGTACAAGTGAATTTTTCTAGAACTAGAGTATAAATGTTTTAACACAATAACTAAGTAAATGACATAAAGTCTATGTTAACCAGTTTGATGAAAATATTTCAAATTGTGTATGAAAACACTACACTGTACCCCATGTTTGCATTAATGTACACAGCTATCATTTAATGAAAAAAAATTACAAAAGGAAAATTAGTAGTAACTAAACCAAGCGATCAAAGTTAACCTCAGTAGTAACAGGACAGTTAGATACCATGTGCCTCTTGCTCTAATGCTCCAGGAAGGACACACCACCCGTTGGTGGTATTCTAGTCTCCAAAGTACATAATTTGAATCTAACCATGAGAAACATCAGACAAAACCAATTTGGAAAGACTTTCTGCAAAATAATTGGCTTATGCTCTTTAAAAATACCAAAATTATCAGAGACAAAGAATGAGGGACTGTTTCAGTTTCAAGGAGATCAAACAGGTATGATAAATACATGTAACATGTGACCTTGGATTGAATTTACGTATATAAATGTACATACATGTATGTATCCATATGTATGCATAGTAACATTTTTTGTGTATATTATAAAATATGTATATAAATGTTGTTATAAAGGACATGAGTGGGACAGTTAGAAAATTTTAAATAAATTCTCTCGATCAAATAATAGTACTCTATCATTGTAGGGTTCTGTTTGCGGTAATTATACTGTGGTTAGATCAGAAAAGAGAATACCTCTGATACACTGAAGTATTTACCAATAAAGGGGGTTGTGTCTGCAAGTTATTCTCAAATGCCTCAGAACAAAAACCACAGATTAATAAAGCAGACATCATAAAATGTTAACACTGGGGACTTCTAATGAAGAGCGTATGGGATTTTTTGTGCCATTCTTGCTACTTTTAATTCTGAAATGTTTCAGAATAAAAAGTTATAAAACATGGATACCCATTTGCTTGATGGTTGTGCCTAAAGAATTAGGAGAAAGCGGCAGCATCCTCCAG